AAGCCTGAGGTAACACACTGCCAGCATCTGAGTTCATCTAAGCAGAATGTGGCTCCCTGGGAAATAAAACTCTCAAGTCCACAGGTTGGAAACACACCTGTTTAATAGAGCAACAGAATGAAAGCAGATTTAGAGATTTAGAGTCTCTAGTGAGCATTGTTGCACATCTGCAGAGTAGGATGCAAGTCTGGGCTCGGCTAACGCGTTAGGATACTGTACTTATCCACTCCAAGTCGTCAGTCTTGATGACAGATTTTGATTTAATAGAGTCAGGTCAGTATTTTCAAAGAGACAGCTATATTGCCTCTAGCAGGGAAGTCCTGTTTTCTGTTCTTTTGTTCTTTTGGAGCAAGAGATTACTTTTTGTATCAGATTATATTTTGATATTACACTTCAACATCACCAATGCACTCATTAAAAAAAAAACAACAACAACAAATGCCTTAGAAGTGCTGCTTTTACTCTCAATATTTTTACAATTAAAATGAGATTTAAAACAAATCGTATATCCATGCTAGGCGTACGTGCTTTCTGAGTGTTCTGGTTTTGTGAGTAAAACAGATGTGCAGGAATCCCATCTGTAATCACATTTCCCAGTTTGTCCTCAAGCAGCCAGGTGATTTGACTGAAGTCCTTTCTTGGTGTCATCAGTGTGGCAGCCTTGAAAAACACTGGATGGATGCGCATGAAAGAGAGACGCCCACGTACATGAACATAGTCTGATTACATTCCCAGTTGAGACCATCCCCACCCCCCACCCCCCATATACTTTCTTTCCCCGTCTTTGTTGTTTTTTCCAGTACAACTTTTCAAAATGTGCAGTTTCAAATCCTTACTCTTCATCTTGAGATGTGAAATAGTAAGAGTAAGGGCTGGAGGTCGATGGAAGTGGGGGGCAGTGGAAATCTGGAAAGGGTTAGAAGAGGCAGGGCGTTGGGGAAGGAAGTTGCGAGTGTAAAGCATAGGCGAACACACAATCTCCATGGCAACAGTTTGATCTTTCTCTCTGTGGCTGTCAGGCCTGCATCGCACATGGTGACGGAGTGAACAGGTTGTGCTGATGACCAGAGGTGGGGAGGGGAGTAGTAGGCTTAGATCAGAGATAGTGGTCAGTGCCTCCTTTTTCTGGTCTCTCTCTCTCTCTCTGTGTCTCTCTCTCCCCCCCACCTCCCCAAACTCTGCCATCTGCAGACCCCGAGAGCTGCTTTGATTGGATTAGCCATGAATTAATGAGACAGGCTTGAAGAACAGCCTCTGTTGTGGAAATCTCTTATCATATCTTAATTCTCTCTTTGTGTGAGAGCGTGTGCCGGTGTGATCTTATAGGTTCTTTTAATGAAAACAAAGACGAGCTTAATGTTTTTCTTTTTTCCAAACCCACAAATGACAATGAATTGGTTTGAAGTAATACTATATTTGACTAAATGAATTCTCAGATTAGCGAGCGTACGTTAAAACCCACTCGGAGACCTGTTGCTTTTTCTTGGTAGATACGTTGAGTTGTGACAGAGGAACACGTCTACATAATGTGGAACAAATGTCCTCCTAGATGTCCTTTAAAAAGCAGCAAGTGTTGCTTCTGCTTCATTTTGTTTTATCTTCGACTGAGTTGGAAAAAGTATTGTTCTGTTCTGAAGCTGCTCCCTCTATCATCTGCCCAAGGAACTTTGGAAAGACTCAGCTTGATTTTGGAAGTTTTGTTTTCGGGTGACATGAGTACAGAGCAACCTTGAAGAATAGACTGTTGTCTCCCTGATGGCTTAAACATTCCTCCTTCTTTTGACCACCAAGTAGTTACTAAAACAGAGCACTTCATCCTGTCCTTGTCAATCTAGCATAACCAGTGTAATGTCTGTACATTTTTATATGACTGCAACGAAGAAATAACTCTGCCTCCATGTCCCCCTGTGTCTGAAATTAATAGCTTACATAGTATTTATTGTTGTAAGTTTCTACTTAGCGTGAGATAGAGGGATCAGGTGGGGGATGGCATTGTTTGGTTTGGGAAGTATTCTGTTGGTTGCATAGCAACAGGCTCCTGGAAACGGGAGTGGACGGTGTTGCCACTAGCAACCGTTGTTGCTCTGCAAACAATGTGGGCCAGTGCAAACATGAGCCAAGACTGTGGGCTCCTGCTTTTAATTGAACATCTGTATGTGTTTTTCTCTGATTGAGCCCTGTTTAAGTTAGATCTGTCAGTGACAGATGTTTAAATTTGGCCTGCCCTGTTAACATTATCGACTGTTGCGTTAATGACAGTTTGTCAGGCTTCAGGGGTTCTTAAAATGTGTCTTTTGTTGCTTGAGTTTAGCTTTTAAAACTCAGGCATTTCTTGAAAGGTGGGGCTGTTGTTGTAATGTTGTTAAGTGCTTATCTAGGATTTGCCTGAATTAAATCAAGCTCTTTGACCTGACGTAAAAAAGACATGCGTGTGTGTGTGTGTGTGTGTCTGTGTGTGTGAGAAGTAGTTTGTGGGTTAGAGGCAGAGCGGTTTGGCCCTAAGCAGCAGCCCATCCTGAGTAGCAGTGTTGCAGCCGTGTGCTGTGTCTCCTGCTGTGTTCCACCTTTGTGCCTTTCAGAGCTGCTGGTGGGGATTTTGGGTGGCTTTTAACCTTCCCTCAACACTAAGCAGAGAGACTCCTCTAAGCTTTCATGCACTTTCTCTCTCTCCCCTCCAACTCTATGATGTGGCACACTCCACCTTACCTATTTAAACCAGTGCTCTAATGGAGAAAAACATGCGGGTCAGTGCTCTGCTTTTTGATCCCCTACCATCTCCCTGTGCCACCCACTTATTAATGGCATAAAGAAGCCCCCAGGCTTGTGCCACTTCCTCTGCTAAAAATGACATGTCTGAAGAAAAATGATGGGATTTTTACAAGTGTATTTATAACTCAGCTGACACTCCATATACAAATTCCTGGCTTTAGAAAGATACTTGAGCTTTGCAGCAGCTTTTACAATGTTCTCCGCTTGTTCGCATTGTTCTGATAATAGCCGTTTGGTACTTAAATGACATACAAAAGAGGTGTGAAGAAACATTTTAATAGAATATGAGAGTCTTTACATGTGAGTGTTAATTGTGCTCGGTGCGAACAAATATATTGAAGATGAACTCAGCGGTATGCTCAGGGAAGTCTCAACATGGCACTGAGGGCTGTGCGTGTGTTTTAGAGATTGACACATATCAGGAATTTCAACACAGGCCTCCTCCACCGCGTCTGTTAGTCATGTAGGCAAACCAATGTCTTTGCCTGTGGCAAACTAGGAAGATGTCAGTCGTGGCACACCCAAATCTGTTGTTTTTCTGTCTTAAAGGTACACAGTCTTACTTTGTCATACCCCCAAACTCAACCATTTCCTCCGAGGTTACTTCTGATGTCCCAACAGGAGGGATGTTGACGGTTTCAATTTAAATAGTTGGTTTTGCAGTTGGCAGGGATTTTTTTTGTTTGATTGCTGATGGTTTCTTTAAAAAAAAACTAAATCTAGTAGTTTAAGCAAAAGCAAAGGTTTCTGAATTCTTTGCTTCTTTCCAATAGCGTGCAGATCAAAAGTATAATATAGTAATATTCTGTTCCCCTCACAACTCATTTCTATGCCCTAAATATAGATGTTTTTTTTTTTACCACCTACCAGAGTTAGCTTGAGAACTGATGCTATATTTAACATTAAAAATCAGAGGGAAAGAACCAGACGTAGCTCCTCCTGTGTCGTGTGATACAGCCTTGAATTCTGGATAATGAGAATCACTGTTTTCTAGTTACGATTTTGTGTGAAGCTGTTTTTTTTTTTTTTGCCAATTTATAAACAATTGTCCTTGCACTCTGCTTTTGAACAGGGGAGCTTCTTGTTTCAGTCGAAGGGATTTCGTGTCTGCCGAATCATCACATTGCATTTAGAAGCAATGTCCTTGGTGGCTGAATAAATGAGTGGTGGTATCCTGTATCATTATAGTCCTTAAATCGGAAAATGTTTCACAACAAAGAAGATGAATTAAATTGATTTCCTCTTCCTTTGCATCACCAGCGGGGTTTCCTTGATCCTGACTCATTTTGCCCTTGTTGTTGTAGTCATTCCTAATAGTATTTCTTTTCTTCTCTGGGTCATATGATAGATTTGTTTTGGTTTCTGTCTTCCTTGAGTTCAGTTTGATCAGATTCTGAGAAACATTCATTGTGCTTCGTTTGATGTGAGATCTTACACGGGAATAAAGCTGAGTAGACGCTATCTCTTAGTAACTTTAACCATTAAGCCTCATCAGAAAGTTTGACCTGACAGCCAGGACAAAAGTGTGGCTGCTTGTATGTAATAACTCAGCGAGCAGATTACTGCAGTCCAAGTGGTGTTTGTCAGGTCTCTCCCAGTAAATTAAAATAACATTGTTGTGCATGCTGTGTGTTATGACTAATCACAGCATGTCTAGAGCAGGTTGCGTCTTGCGGCCCGTCGCTGTAATGCTCCTCGTGAACGCCACTCTCTCGTTCGCCTGCTGACTTTTCCTGCTGCCCCACGATTTGTGCCTTAAACTAAAGACTGCTCATTAATTCAACCCACCCCCAACTGTGCCGTATCTCCCTCTCCCTTATTCTGACCCTCCTCCCCCTCTTCTCTTTGTGGTCGCACTCGAAAGTTCCTGTGCAAGAGCTTTATAAAGGGGGGGAATAGAGGAGTGGACATGGAGGGGTGGAGAGGGGGGTGAGTCGGGGGTGGTCGTCATGGATTCCTCACCATAGCAACCGACAAACGTTTACAAAGCATTGAGGAATTTCCTCATATCAGCTGGATTATTGGAGCCCTCAGAGATCAGCTCTCGTTCGAAACAAACGCTGGATATCATCAGGACCTTGGCAGGGGCTGGAACCCCACTGCCATTTTCATCTTTTTCCTCTTCGTTTTTCTTTTTCGGAGAAAGTGGGGAAGTTGTTTTTTTTTTTTTATCTGCTTACTCCCCCTTGCAGTTCCATTCTTCTCTTGTCCCTGCCTTGCTCCCGCTCTTTTCCTCTGTCCTTTTTTTTTTTTAAAGAGAGCCTTTGTGTCACTCCATTTTTAGCTCCACTTTGCTATGCTGTGCACATTGTCACCCAGTGGAAAGCAGAGTAGTGGCAGTGGGCTTGGTCCTCAGGAAGCAGTTCAGTCCTGTTGGTAACTTGAACTCCTCTACTTTAACTTTTCCACCTGGGTCCGTTCTGTCAGCAGGACTATATGTGTCTGTGTTACACTATTGGGCTGCTTATTTTGCCATTGATTACGGTCAAAGGTGGCCTGCCTCTTGTACTCTAGGAGCTTTCGTGACTCAGCTTGACTTGGCAAAGCCTAAAAACCCCTGGGGTACAATGAAAGCCCTGGTGGCTCCAAGACAGAAGGGGTGGGGTGGAAAAGCATTTATTAAGTATGGCTGTCCATGTGTGTGGAGTTGAACTTCTCCTTCTCTTTTCTTTTGAACTTCATTTTTCTCTGTAATGTTATTTCTTCAATCTGGTATAAAATTCCCCCCTCTAATATCTTTTTTCTTTTCTCCTTCTTCATGCCTTCCAGCATGCAGAACTCAGAGGGAGGGTCCGACACCACGACCAGCGTGGCAGCGCTGCGGACGTCATCATCAGCCCAGGCTCCTGTGGTACAGCCTGTCCCAGCTTCGCAGCAGGTAGGCTAATACCTCTGCCCTGCTGCTACTGTAATAACAGGACACAGTCTGTAATGACTTAACTGTTCCATCCATACCTTTCCAAATTTTAAGTGTAAAAGAAATGTTATTTTGGAAACCGAACCAGAAGTTTTTTTATTACATAAGTTTTTGTGCCTGATATCCCAGAAAAAAAAACCCTAAAATGTCTTGACAACAGATTCTCTCCTGGATACGCTCACAGTTCAGTGTTCGACGGCGCGCCAGCAATAAATAAACATGTATTTTTAAATTGTGGTTCGAATTGGTAACTTGTCAGCAACTAAAGCTGCTACTGTCGACTCTGCCAACAGATGGCTCTTGTATCATTTTACCATATTTACTTCTGCCATGGCTTCTGTCTGCCTTATCGGAACAACACATCAATTTTACCAGTGTTACAGGCTGCAGAAAAATAAGAGCAGTCAGCGGATCCTATACAGGACAGCCAACATTTGCTGTTACATATATCATTTTTGCATGCATCACCATTACTATACACATATTTCAGACTGGTAGGAAGAAATGTAAGCTTTAATTTTTTACTTTACTTTTTCATTTTTGACTAAACTATATTGAAACATCACCATATGACAAAAAAAGCATTTGCTTGATGAAGGTATTTGAGTGTTTCCTGTTATATGTTGAGAACAGTGTGTTTGTGTGTGTGATTGTACGTGCGTACCTATGTAATTGAGTTATGTCTTGTATCCACACAGAGGGTGCTGGTTCAAGCCACAGGCTCAGCTCAGAAGGGAGGACAAGTACAGCAGCTTTCAGTACCCAGGGTCCAACAGGTCCCTCAGCAGGTACACAGTACTGTACATACCTGTACTGTACTCTGAAAATATGTGTACAACCCTTGGCTTTTTACAGATTCTATAAAAATCTGATCATTTTAACTTCTGTAACTGGGCTAAAGAGCTGTCAAGCATTTTCATTTACAATAATGTAAGAACAAGATTACATTTATTTCTCTGAGTTCATATAAACAGAATTCAAGGTTGGCAAACGTAGCCGGTGTCACTAGGGCTGACTTCTGCCTTTTGATAAGCTCATCATGTCTCATTCAGGTGAAACTTTACATTCAGGTTAAATAGTAGCATGGCCAAGAAGAGGCTGTTGGCTTGGCCTTTGACTGACACAATGGATGGTAAATAAGTTAAACAGCAACCAGACCATGTTTGTGTTAAAGACTGGATAAAGATCTCTACCATGGTGGCCCATTCATTCCACCAAAAGGTGGACGTCCAGATCGGAAATGCTTTTCCTGTCTCCTGTGCCCCTCGTGGGTATGCACAAGTTTCTTTCTCTGGCTGAGCCTGGCCCACTGCCTGTATACATGAATAACACGGTATAATAACTTATCACAAGTCTCGACGGTTTTAAAATACATATTAGTGCTAATGCTTGATTGATAAATGAATCACTTTTAGATGTGTTTGATGATGTAGATATTTTTCTGCTTTCCTGCTGCTTCTTTTCTGGCGATGTTTATGACCCTGTGGTGGGCCTAGAAGCTTGAACCAAATCCCAACACAAAGCCTGTGTGATGTCTCGTTTCTGATGGTGAACACCAGGAGCTAGCCTCCCTGTCTCCCTATTTTCTTGTGTTTGGTGCCAATTAATTATTTTCACATCCCACCAGATCCTCTAAAACCACTTGAGCTGTTCGATTCCTGCTTTTCACCATTTTTGGTCATTCATTGTATATGATTGTCAGATCACAGTTGTTTTTCGTGAAATGTTTGTATCAGTCCAAGATACAAATAATTCAATTAATATTTCATCAACTTTAGTAAATTGTACATTTTAATATATTTTTAATTCAGATTTGTTTCAAATTATCCTTACTCCTGATTCCCTCTTCATAAAAGTTTCTTCCTATCTTCTTAAAATATTTTAGAAACTCTACACAGAAAATGGTCGGCCTGAATACAACAGACAGTGTTTTAAATGTTTTTGTTGGGGCTGCTGCTGCTTTGCACAGATTATTGTAAATAAACCCGATTGCTTTGCATGCAAACACATACAGGTGTGCATGTGCTTTCACGTGAAAATATATTTATCTAAACATCATTTTAAAGTAAATTTATATCGCTTAACAATGAAGCATAACTGTAGTTGTTGCTTCATGTCAGGCCTTTAGCTGCTGAGCCCTGCTGTAAATGTTCTGTTGTCTCTCTGTAGGTGCAGCAGGTGCCACATGTCTACCCATCACAGGTCCAGTATGTAGGAGAAAGCGGAGACGCTGTTTATGCCAATGGAACTATGTAAGCAATGCTGCAACTTTTCAACTTGCAAAAAAAAATAAAGACTTTGCTTTAGGTTGTGATAATGAAATATGATTTTTACGTCCAGAAAGTTTACCATAGTTAAAATGTACGACTCTACACATAATATTTGGCTCCACTCCCATTCCAAAGTCATCTTGAATAATGTCTCAGTGGGTGCTGGATGAAAGGCGTAGTCACAGATAATACTTTCCAGACCACTTTTGTCATCGTGTTAACTGTGTCACATCAAACGTCTTTTCAAGTGGCTCTAATCAAAATGCCATTAAAGCTAATTGAAGCCAAAGTGATCTTTATTCTCACAGTGTGATATGACTCCAGCGTAAGCAAAAAAAATTCATGACCTCACTTATATTGTTGTCTATGTCAACACATTTATATTATTCCTGGGCCTTTTCAGAGTGTTTCAAATGTATCAGCGGTTTAAATGTACTTTCTTTAGGAATGCGAACTAACTAAGATGATCTTTCTCCAGCCGAGCGGCCTACTCTTACAACCCTGAGGCTCAGTTGTACGGGCAGGGCAGTGGGGGAACCTACTTTGACTCTCAGGCTGGTGGAGCTCATGTCACCACGGTGGTTTCGTCTGCCAGTGGTGGCGTGCCCCCTCACGGCATGGTTGGCATCACCATGGATGTGGGCAGCAGCCACATCATCTCCAGTGGGAGTACCTACCTGATCCACGGAGGAAGTATGGAGGGAAACCGCAACCACATATCACACTCGTCACGCTCCTCCTCAGCCATGGTGAGCAACACCCATCCCACTCTTCTGCGGTTCTCCACAGCACATTTTTCCAATAGGACAGGACTAATGAGCAAGCAAAAAAAAAAAACCACAACAGCGTGTAAGTCAGAGGTTTACACCCACCAACAGACTGAATGACTGTAAAAGTCAGCCTTTGAACAATAGTGAACATATTTGGAGAATTATTTGGTAGCTACTGGGTGGAGTCATTACTACCTGAGCCTGGGTCCTGACTGACTATCCGGTTTCCCAGGAACCTGCAACCTGAGTTTGGGCCTCCTAGCTGTGTAGTAACACTCAGGGAGCAGAGTGGTGCAGGGCAGTGAGCCTGCAGAACCGGGACACTGGCTTAAATAATTCAGCACTGCCTTGTTTCAGAGGTTTTCACAGGCACTTGAGCGCCCTACGAAACAAAGCAACCCCTGGGGCTCATTACCATTTGGCCAAGAGCCCTCGGGAGCCTTCTTAAGGCTTGGAACGCTGCCTGCTTCTTTTTCCTTTTCTTCTGTCTCCAGTTTGGCTGCAATAGCACATATCTTTTCTTTTTTGACTTGATTTTCTTCTACAGCTCAACAGAATGTCCCTGGTTTTGTCATTCGCTTTGCCCGCCAGTTGGACTCCATTATTTTTTGTTGTCCAATGGTAGAATAATATGTCAGTGTATTTTCGACCGTGACACTCCTGCTTATGTCATAGTTACAACTCACTCCGTCTGCCTTTTTATTTTTACCAATATTTTTCGAAGCTACGTTATTTGGTAAACTTTCGGCGGTAGCCATTGTTGACCTATTGTCCAAATCTTGAGGTGACCTGTGGCCCTGTTTGTGGTTCCTATTTGCATACATTAGAGTGTCTGACCGCAAGCCTTCACTGAGCAGCTTAACCCTATGAGTCCCTTGATTTGCATGCTTTTGTCAGCCAATAATGGATTTGGCTGCGACACTGACTGATTTTAATGGAAATGCAGAGATCTGGCTGCTCGCTAACAGTCTTATTTCCTTTATCTTTTTTTTGTATGTGTGTGTGTGTTTTTTCATATACCCCTGCTTATTTCTGTTCCCTTCCCTTCTTCTATCTCTCACTCTCTCGCCTCTCCTCCCCCTTCTGTGTCCACTCTTTTTTTTTTTTTTTTTGCATGCTTCTTCTTTCTTTAGCTTGAAATGGCGATTGAAAACCTCCAAAAGTCTGAAGGAATTGCAAGTCACAAAAGCAGCCTGCTCAACAGCCATGTAAGTCAACCAGGAACTTTCTTTGAAAGGACATGAGAGGGGGAAGAGAAAGAAGGCCGTGGCTGAACCTATAGGCTGTGTGTTCTACTTGTGTTCTGCTCAGTGGAACACGCTATCTGCTAGCTTTACTTACGCTGCACTGTCCCAATGACACGCACAATTGTCTCAATTAGTGTTCGTCTTTGATCTGAACTTGCATTTGCTGTCACCTTTTCCTTATGAGTGTATCTTGTATGTGCACTTTCATACTCTGCATGTGCTAAAACTGATTGATTTATCTTTTTGAAAGACTGTTATTTCACTTGTGGGTTCACCAAGACATGACTCATCAGTTTTAGATTTTACTGCAGTGTAGCTTTTGCTCTTGGCTGTCTCTCAGTCATAATACATGCAAATTGCGTTTTGATGTATTTTCTTTATGTATGATTTGAAAATTGGAGATCAGAGCTTCACAGTGAGTACAATGGTCTGTCTCTCCAGTGTTAAACTTAGTAAATAGACGGTCATGTGATGTGCGTGTGGTGTGTTCTCTGTCTTTTGATGTGATAATAAGATGCGCTGCCCCTCTCCCTTGCTGGCCAGGCGACTATCACACAGCAGAGATTGTCCACAGGGGCTCGCTGATTGTGTGACTGTGTCTTCTTCTTCTGTGTATTTTTAGCTGCAGTGGCTGCTGGACAACTATGAGACAGCAGAGGGAGTGAGCCTGCCCCGGTGCTCCCTGTATAACCATTACTTGCGGCACTGTCAGGAACAGAAACTGGACCCGGTCAACGCGGCGTCCTTCGGCAAACTCATCCGATCAGTCTTCATGGGCCTGAGGACCCGCCGCCTCGGCACCAGGTAGAGAGAGCAAGAGGTTGTTGCACATGCTAGAGATGCTGATAACAGTAATCACGTAACCATTATAGATGTGACGAGTATGATGATGCTTATAGGCATTGGAAACTTGCTGATGGAGGAGGATAATGATAGTAATTACACTGATGGCAAGGCTTCTCCTCACTGGTTTCTGGCTTTTCTCTCGCTCTATCCACCAGAGGCAACTCTAAGTACCATTACTATGGCATCCGGGTGAAGCCAGACTCACCGCTCAACCGGCTGCAGGAGGACACCCAGTACATGGCCATGAGACAGCAGCCTGTCCACCAGAAACAGAGGTCAGCGCTTTCTCCCTATCTGCCATTTATACCATTTTCAGTCCTCTTCCTTTCCATTTCCTGTGCTCCATGTGACATTTCTCACAACAGGTAGCAGCTTTATGCTTGCCATCTTGCGCCATTTTTTTTGTGCGAAAGTGTCTAAATCAAACTTCACTTGTTCCGACGCTGACCCTGTGACAGCTGCCTACTGCCACCACCGTCCCTGCTGCTCGCTGTGTTTTATGTTTTTCTTACCTTCTGTCTCCTCCTGCTTTCATCCGTCAGCTCTTTTGCTCTTCTCCTTCACCAGGCATTAGAACATCGCTGCTTTCAGTGTGCTTTCAATGTCCTGGGTGCTAATCTGCAAAACATAATGTACATTTTTTTTATTGGAAACAGAATTTCCTTCAATGACCTGTTGCAAAATGTTGTTAGCGTATAATTGCATTTCTCTATGTTCTGAGCAGTGCTCTCCGTTGCTATTTAAAGTCCATGTAGAGAAGTAAAGATGTGTGTTCTAAGTTAGGTTATTGACCACCCAGCCAAAACTGAGGGATTATAAAAATCTAAAATTGTCCCACCTGAGGTTTCATACAAGAGACAGAAGCATTACGTGCACTGAAGGTGCTGATTGACAGCTTTCACGGCAGCCGAAATGAACGGTATGAATCATGTAAACAGAGCCGACTCCAGCCAAGCCAAACAGATTAGATGTGACAACACAAACACACGCTGTATACATGGACTAATATCATCACTCTGCAACTGTACACAACAGCGTCTACTATAATAAATTAAGTACACGAGGCAGCTTACACTCATCGGTGGCATGTGCTGCTGATGGCGCCACATTATGACGGGACTACCTCCCTCCCCGGCCTTCATCTACCCGTCCCATCAAAATCTAGTGCCATCATCAGCAGTGCCATCATCAGCAGGACATGCCGGATTCTGATGAGACGGGACGATGGAGGCCGAGGAGGGAGGTAGTCGGTCTGACCGTGTTCACCAGTAACAGCTGATTATCCAACAACGCTACATAGCTAACAGTCTATTTGTGTTTTCGGCAATTATTCTCCGACATGTGTAGTCTGCTTCTTTTACATGAACGTTTATAGAAAAGCAACTTGCTCTCCGCTGGTACTTTGAAGAACCCCCGTATGTGTGTGTGTGTGTGTGTGTGTGTGTGTGTGTGTGTGTGTGTCTGTACACTCCTCAACGGCAGATTCTTTCTTAATCCTGCTTTCCTAGAACTTCAAAACTCAGCAAACGTAATGTCCCGGCCTCTCATGTCTGCATAGGTTCAAGCCTCTCCAGAAGGTGGACAGCATGTCTGACAGCCTGTGTGGGAGCTCTCAGCACTGCAGCAGCACTCCAGAGCAGTCAGTGGCTGCTCAGAGCCAGCACCACCAGCAGTACATAGGTAGGAACAGGAGAGCTGCCACCAGCACTGTTTTAAGCATTTTAAACTCTCCTCACTTGTTTCTTCTGATATTTTTTGGTACCAGTTTTAGTTATAGCACTAGACTTTATAATTATTATTTTTTACCTAATTAAACAAATCACTGTGGGGAATCATATTGGGCTCAGATGTACATTCTAAACATATGTAATAAATGTTAAACTGGAAAGATGTGACATTAATAATTGTGTCATATACCATAAGACTACAATATGTTTTTAATGCATTTCTCTCCATGTGCGAGTGACGTGAGTGACACCTGTCCATATTTGTCTTTCATGCAGATACATCTCACACCTTGCCTCCGTTTCCTTCTCCTGACTTGGGCACGCAGCCTCTGCCTGAGCGCATCAACATGAACGATATCAAGAAGCTGCAGACGCTCTACAGAGACCACTGCGAGGTGGGTTATATCACACAAGAACAGTTCTTATGAAGGTTTTGACTAATATCCGAATGTTGAGCAGGAGCTCGTGCTTCACTTTTTAGCTCCTCATTCAGATCTGCAACAGAGCTCAGCACTGGTTACACCACACGCTGCTCTGGACGGGGTTCAGGAGACAATCACTGCATGGTTACGTACTTCTAATGCAAAAAATCCTACTCATGACTAGTCAATATGTACGACAAGTTAGGGAAGACCACAGACCTAAAGCTACTTGCTGATGCACCAGAATATGTCAGGTGGAATGAGGTTAGGACAGATCGTTACCAACACAATGAACAGCCTTGTTTTTTGTTGTTTTTTGTTCATTCTGTGTATGTCGTTGTTTGCCAGCTGAGGCTACCCTGATGCTAGAAATGTGCTGAGGTGGCTTTAAGGTGGAAGTAAAGTCTTAAATATTAGTGGGTTGAAAACACAATCATTGGCCTTCTGGGTAGATTTTGGTTTTATTTGTCGTATTTTCACATTTTGCACATCCAACTAGTATAGATTTGAACTGAATTTACAGAAACAAACCCAAGCTGTCACAGTGCAGTTCTAATGACAGCTGACCACAGGCAGCTGGGACACACATCATATCCCAAACCGGGTGGAAGCAGGGACACAGCAGCAGTAAAACTCTATGATTGCTCTAATTAAGCTGTAAATTGCACTTGCATGTATTCCATTAATCTATTAGATAAACACTTCATTAACTCAAATTGGACTGTTGACTGATGGATATTTTTCCTACCCTGGCTCGCCTCTTCTGTGTTCAAAGGTTGCCTTAATGACATGCCGTTTTTCTTTTAAGACCAAATCTACTAACAAGGGTTGTCTGTGTATCCAGTGCTTCATGTGCTCTAGCGGAGCTCTTATCGTCGTCAAAAAACTACGAGAAACACATCGGCACAACGCACCGCTGCACCGGCTGACATGTCTTCTCATTACCATAATCACTGTGGCTTATTTTAAGTCAGCCTCACAAACCTGCTGCTGTACATACTAATACCCCCTCAGCCCGCCACTCATGTCAGCTGACCCTCCTGTACAGGGTCGGCCGGCTTTGGGGTCCTGCTGTTGTTATCAAGAATGGAAATAAATTCAATAATACCCACATTTAAATCTCATTTAACTGAGTCGCTGGAAAACAGAAGGAGGGAGGGAGGGAGGGAGCGTACATATGGACAGACAGAGGTGAAGCTGACACTCGACTTGTATCTGGTAATTATCAGTGTAGTTCTCAGGTTCATCAGTGGAACCAAACTGCAGACCTGAGCCTCTGTTAACAACGAGAAGTAGGTCGAGAGTTGTGTAACAAATAGGAACACACAAAAAAAAGTGTATTAATGCTGAAAAGAGTCCCTAAGAAAGACATATGTTGTGTTCCTGTGTGTACCAAAGCCAAAAACTACAGGACTAAGCTTTTAAATGACTGAAGACATAAACTTAGTGTCATTTATAAAGCAGTGACTGTTGTGTTTTTTAGCCTTATCGTTTAAGATCCACTGGGAAACAACACGTATGAAGACAGAGTTACGGCAAACTGCTGGATTACATGCTGACATTTCATCGGCTGCAGAAAACGACTGGGTGTCTCTTAGTAGGACAGTAAATCTGAGTAGGCAGAGGAGGATGAAACACTGGAAATGAGGAGAGTAGAAATAATGCTGAACATTAAAATTTGGGGCTCTACTGGCAGCAGAGAGGCTGTGATTAAAGCAGCAAAGCTCTGGCTTTATCATATTATCCCTGCCCTCCCCTTGTCCAGCCTCACCGCACTCCCTTTGTTCCAGCCGTCTTTTCATCTCTGTGCAGCTTTCAAGACATGCCAATTAACCTTTCAGTGCGCTGGGTGGACATCTTGGTGTCTTTGTGGTGGCCTCCCCTTGGGCCTTTGTGTTGCCTTGTCTGTGGACAGGCACATGGGCTGCTGTCTTTGTCTGCCAGCGCATTTCTGTCACTCACAGCTCTCATTCCCTCTGCGTGTTTAATGTTTATGCATTTTACTTTTTTTTTCCTTCCTCTTTTTTGTGAGCCAACAGTGACCTGTTAACACATTAACCAAGACTTTTATTGACATCATTTAAAGTTACAACACAAATAGAGGCAACACGTTGATCTGAACACAAACTATATTTTACTTTCTGCTTTACTTTCTTGTAGTTGAGTGTGTTTGTGAGTGGGCTGTAAACAGACTTCTATCCACCGTGGTTGGTGTATTTATTAATGTCATGGTAACAGCCAAATAGTCGTGACACGAAATTACTGTTTAAGCGCAAATGATGAGGTGTTTAATAAAACATTGAGCGTAATAAATCACACCGTTAACCACAGTGTTTGTCGTGTGTATGCTCAGAAATGAGGGCTTGAGATTTGGGAAGCTCTGCCGCAGGCCGCTCATCTGTTTGTGACTGTGCATGTGAACACTCCTCCAGACTTTTCTTCTTTTTTTTTAAAGCATGCTGTTTTTCCTGTGTGGCAAAAAAATCAAAAAAACTGTGGAGGCAAAATGCTCTTGTTTAGAGAGGATGGGGAATTCTCCTTTTTGTTTTGGAGTTCTGTGTTTGACCTGTTGCTGGGGGCAACTGTAAACACGGTTACCATGGCGACAGCTGGAGAGGAAGCAAAAACATATCATGTGATTGAAGCCTACACTGCTGTGTAACAAGATCCAGCGGCAAGTGCATGTCCTGCCAGATAGAGAGAGAGAAGAGAATCTCTGGGCACGATGTGAATCGTACGCGACGCTCAGCGCAGAGAAACGCTGAACTGTTAGAGACCAGCAGAGTTTGACCTTCAGGTGGAGTCGAGCTTCCTCTAGTCGGTCTACTGGCCTCAAAAACTTCTGCAGTTTGCAGTGGATTTGGCATTTTAGTTTCAAGTACGTGTTTAGGTTGGAGGTTTATCCGTTAGCTTTCGTTTTAGAACCAAGGTATCGGTTTAGATCAGCAGCTCGCCGCTGCTTCCTTTGTGTTCACTTGCGTGCAGTATGCTCTGCTTTCAAAGAGCCTCATACATATGAACAGGAAAGAGGAAGTCACATGGGTTAGCTCAGGTCACTAAAAGTAGTCAAATGCACGCTTTAATCTGTGGGACTGATCTGCCTCGAAAAAGTAGAGAAGATTTCAAAAAACGGAGAGAAATGAACGACGAGGAAAAAGCTGCAGATGAAGCCTAAATGTGTCCTTTAGGATTCTCCCGATGATTAATGTGCAGGGAGCTGTGTTTAAGCTGGCTCATTGTCTAAGCAGGAGGGCCCGCAGTGAGCGAGAGGCTGCCTGCCTGCCTCTAGAAACTTTGTTGTGTGTCTGGTTGCCATGGTTCAGCTCTGTATGTTTTGTCCCCCCTCCTTCGCTCTCCCTCCTCTGCTCCCTCCCCCTCTTTCCTCCCTCCCTCCCTCCTGCAGGCTACTTTGGATGTGGTGATGAACCTCCAGTTCCACTACATTGAGAAACTCTGGCAGACCTTTTGGTATTCAACACCGCCATCTAGTGACGGGAGCACGACTATTCCCAGCAGGTCAGATCACACAGACTGGAGCAGAAAATGAACATACGGCGTCACGTCTGAAGCTAATTAGTGTCAACTTATTAACCTTTCTACCTAAATTAAGAGCAACGTTTCATTGGCCAGATGTCAGTATTTACAGTCTGGACGTGTGTGTTTCTGTGTGTAGTGATGATGACCTGGAAGGTGTGATTCCCAGAGAGAAGCTGGTGGCTCTGTGTAAATACGAACCCGTCAGACTATGGATGAGAGGCTGTGACCACATCCTCTACCAGGCGCTGGTGGAGATCCTCATCCCTGATGTGCTGCGTCCTGTTCCCAGTCAGTACCACCGCTGGTTCCTTTTCTTTCTTTCTTTTTTCAAACCAACTCATGTGCCACTCGTTAATCAATTTATGTCAGTCAGTATCGCAAATGTCAGTTTTTTTTTTAGAGCCAAGTCGATGTAATCAAAACGAGTTGCTTTCTCCAACTAACAGCCCGACATCAGTGGACTAAACTATTTGAATGGATTACATCTGAGAAGCTGCAAGAAGCGAACGTTTGCTTAAAAATAAATCATCAAATTAGTTTCAGCTTCATAAAACACACCAGTGATGCAGAATAAACTGCAAACAAACGGTTTTTGAGTTTACTTGAATATATGTGCACGCTTTAATGTTAAAAAAAAAGGTGTACATAAAATGATAGCACAAAGAAGTGGTGCACAGCGTACGATGGTGAGATAATGTTGGTCCTGTACTGAGGCAGAGACATTCAGCTCTAGTGAGACGGTCGTGGCCACTGTAGGGAAGCTGCTCCTTCTTTTTTTTGAAGGCTTTCCAAACAAGCCTCTATGCAGCCACAACACCGACACGACACTAAACATTACAGTCAGAGGATGTTGGTGTTCTGTCAGTCGTGCGTTTGTCTGTTTAAACTCTACCTTCAGTGCTTCCTGCATAGAGCAGATCAAGTCATGATGCTCTGTAATTCAAGCTGCTCTGTTTCCTCCTCAGGCACTCTCACTCAGGCCATCCGTAACTTCGCCAAGAGTCTGGAGGGCTGGCTGACTAACGCCATGACCAACTTTCCTCAAGAGATCATCCGCACCAAGGTAACTAGAAGCACTAAATCACTGTAAGTGGGTTATATGGCGTTAAAGTTTGTGTCTAGTGTATTGGATGTGTTTGGGTTTTTTGTAAAGTGGATTTAAATCATATTTCCTCACAGTCCACAATATTAACTTTTAGAATCTCATGTGGCTGCTTTGCCATCTGTGTCCACAAGCCGTTCTTACCAGACTTCTGTCACCGAGCGGCGTCCTCTGATTTCCCCTGATGTCTGGATCTGTGCATCACTTAGATTCTGCCAAAAACACTTTAAAGTTACACAGTTAATCGGGGCACATTTGAAAGAGACGTTCCTCACACCTTAAATACATAAATGAAAAAACGTGCATGACTCTGTGTACACTGATGGAGTCACACACCAGCTGAAGTGTGTTTCCTGCTCTGTGTGTGCTGTAGGTGGCTGTGGTCAGCGCCTTCGCTCAGACTTTGCGGCGCTACACCAGTCTGAACCACCTGGCTCAGGCAGCACGCGCAGTCCTCCAGAACACCTCCCAGATCAACCAGATGCTCTCCGACCTCAACAGGGTGGATTTTGCCAACGTCCAGGTAAAGTCTGACGGCTCATTTCCACATGTTTGTGTTGCACAAGGTGCAGATTGTACCCACGTTGTGTTTGTGTCTCTCGCTCTGTCGTGGCTTCTTGCTGAACGTTGTTTGGGTGTTTGTTGTGTGCAACAGGAGCAGGCGTCGTGGGTGTGTCAGTGTGACGAAAGTGTGGTTCAGCGCCTGGAGCAGGACTTTAAGGTCACCCTGCAGCAGCAGAGCTCTCTGGACCAGTGGGCTACCTGGCTGGATAACGTGGTCTCTCAGGTCCTGAAGCCTCACCAGGGCAGCCCCAGCTTCCCCAAAGCCGCACGCCAGTTCCTGCTCAAATGGTCCTTCTACAGGTACGAGGACGAGACTGGGACTGTTCACACTCTCCTTAAGAATCACTGAATTAGCCTAGTGTTTAAAAAATGCTCATCAGGTTCTAACATTCCCTGTGGCTCCATGAGACGGGATTTTATTAGCGATGCACGATATTAAAATTTCTGGCCGATACCGATACCCGATATTAAGATTTCTGATATCGCCGATAACCGATATCACCGATATCACCGATGTCGATATTCTTTTTTGTTCGCACTGAAAAATGAATATAAGTGAGCACTGTGAGAATACTATTCAAAGGAAGCCCAGATTAGACCACATAGTCTTCTGTATTACGTAGCAAAAGAAAAACAGAATTAAACATATTTAGCGTTCAAGTCCAGGACCATTTAAGTAAAAACATCTGTGAAATAGCAGCGATATCAAACGTAGAGACGAAGGCGCTGATGTTCGACGATCATCGGCTTAATTTGTTCATCGGACCGATACCAATACATCAGAAAAAAACACTATCGGCCGATACTGATGTCGCCGATATCTCGTGCATCCCTATATTTTCTAGAGGATTTTTCTTTACTGTCTCTCCTTCTTGCAGCTCGATGGTGATCAGAGACCTGACTCTGCGCAGTGCTGCCAGTTTCGGCTCCTTCCACTTGATCCGCCTGCTTTATGACGAGTACATGTTCTACCTGGTGGAGCACCGCGTCGCTCAGGCCACTGGAGAAACTCCCATCGCTGTCATGGGAGAGGTACGACAGAAAACTGCTGGACTAATTAAACACTACGTAATGACTGTAAACTGGCTCTGTTGACGAATTCCCTCTCAATCCTTGCATTCCAGTTCAGCGACCTGAGCTCCATGATGCCGTCACTCATGGAAAAAGGTACGTCTGCATCGTCTGACAGTCCGGTTCTAATCCGGCCAGCTGGCTCTGGGCTTCACATACATGTTAAACATGTCTGCTGCTGTTTGGCGCTTTTCTTACTGCATCAAATCCCAGCTCTGTTGTTTACAAAACCAATTAATTTATTTTTAAAGTCCCACCGTTGCACTGGGTGACTCCTCTAATTACAGCCAGTCCCACAAACTCCATCCTGCTGCTGGAAGGACTGAACAGAGAAACGTGAATTAATCTGCTGCCGAAAATAGTCCCAAACAAATGCATTTGGTTTGAACTGTTAAGGGAATTACTGGAGCTTTTTAATGAGCCTATATTTTGATTTACGCCTTCAATAGGAACTAATGGGGTTGTGGCTGAGACACACAGAGGAGACGACTCCATCGCTTCATGGGATCTGTTGACAATAACAAAGAGACCAATATTGCCGGCGTTCCCTTTTAACCACATTCTTTGTGCTGGAGATTAGGTCGCTGTGAGAACCTTTATATTGTAGCTGTGGTTCAGTTCTCCGTCTGCTTGTCTGACGTTCTCAACACTAACTTGTATTATTTATGGAAACAGCAAAGTTCTAAAACATTTCCCCAGTTTTGGAAAAACAGTTTAATGGTCTCCAATGACAGGTTTTTTGATTGGGAACAGATCCTCATGTCATATCCTTTCTTTCATATAGTTTTGTGCGTTTCTTCTTCAAGGTTTTTAAAAAGTAAGCAAACAACTAACTCAGTGTATTACAGCCATGTTTAACAGCCTGCAGCGCCACCTTCTGATGACAGCCTGGTTGTTCTGCTGCAATGTCGTTAACAGAAAAAAGACGAGTTCTCCTTTTTAAAATAATTAACGCCATGTCAAAAGTTTGCTTAAAACTGTCTTGACAGTTCTATTGAAACAGCTGCTGGTTGATTTCAGGGTCACACATGTGATAAAGCTGTGCTGACACTAGAACCTGTTCCTCTCTGTTCCACCAGACACGTCTTTCTCTGATGAGATGAGCGACCTGGGCAGCGACGCCGACGCGTCCAGAGGTCCGACTGAACCAGCTGTGAAGAGGGAGCGGATCGAAATGAGCCACCCTCTGCAGGAGATGTGAGTCCGGTCTGATTGGGGCCACAGCAAAAGTCACATGGACCAGCAGCTGCCCCTGAAATGTGGCTTTTGGGGCCTTTGGGGACGCAGCAGCTCTCGGGCTGAGCGTCCTTCTGCAGTCAGTGTGTGCAATGTACATAGAAAACGAGTGTAGCAACGTCAGTCCTCCCCTCACTAGCGTTTTAAAGACGGCGGTCTTTCTCTCATGAAGCTCACACGTCTATTTCTATTTTTTTTTTTTTTTTTACTCACAGGGGTGTAACACAGGTCTGACTGTCTTTCTGTTTTTGTTGCAACTGTGAATGACTTTGTGCAGTATCTTTTGTTGGATGTGTAACTTTGAGTGGTGGTGTGTGGTGTTTGTGATTCATCTTCTCCTTTTTTTTTCTTTTTTTTTTAAAAACAAAACATTTTACCTAGCTGTGCCATAGTGTCATTTGAGTGCCTTAGATCGCTAACTCTGAAACCACCACTACAGATGTCTATCTGTCCCTCAGCTGTGCCTCTACCGCAGTATGAATGTATCGTCTCCAAACCTCAGACATTCAAAGCACCTTTAACATTGATTAGGTGTAGGCGTGTTCTCCTTGTTGCCTCCGCTGCAGCTCGTAGCAAACACATGGGAAATAAACAAGTAACCACAACATGCAACCTACTGACCCAAAGGACCTTTCCCTCAGTCGTACCCACCAGCTTAGCCACGGTTTGGCTCCGTTCGTCAGGCATTAGGACCTCATAGTGTCGCAGTAGTCAGGGAGGCAGGGAGCTGCTCCCCTGGCTGTTCAACATGTTGGTTTGTTTACCTCAATAGAATTTTATGCTGTTCTCTGTTCAGCTCAGATGACATGAGGCAAATATTTTTCAAAAAGAAAAGAAAAAATGTAGCCACTGTCCTGTTTCGTGTCCCGTGTAAATACCTCTCCTCGATCCTTTCACACGGTTTCCATCCGGTGATAGCTCCGCGCTGTCGTTTTCTCAGCTGCCGCACAGTTGGAACAAATCCAGAATAATCACTTTAGCGGGGACAGGACGCTGAAACCCGAACTGGAATCTGGTCCGTCTCAAAGTTAGGAAGCTACGTCGGCATACGTCAGAGCGTCGGACCTGCAAACCAAAACCCTACAAGAGGATCTCGTTGGCACCTGAGCCGGCACGCTCGTCCCCCAATTCAGATACTTGGACCTCATGCAGCTACTCAGATAAAGTCTTATGTTCTGTTTGAATTAGATAGAAGAATACAGTGCGTTATCTGGGGAATTTGTCCATAATAAATTATATATATATATATATATCTTTATATGATGTAGACAGTGCGTGCTCTGTGGCCTTCGGTCTTTGCCTAATCTCTCTCCTCATGCTGTACTTTGGTCACATCGTAACAGAGAAAACCTGCTTTGGTGTGTAATTGACTAGACTGTGTGATAAATTTGTTTCCAATCTCAAATGTTCAATGTATGAAATTTAATTATTACTGCGGCGCTGCTGCTCCCCAGTAAGCTATTAAACTGTCACAAGAAAAAACTTCTATTTATATGAACTAATCTGATTTGAAGATCTTGAGCTTTGTGTTGAAATCGGTTCAGTTGTTTCTTTTCTTTCCCTTCTCCTCGTTTCCCTCCCGGATGTTTTTGTCGTAGCGATGAGAATCCTCGTGATCGGTTTATTTAAGGCTTTTTGTAACTTGTGCCTGTCACAGTAATTTGCCTTAAAGTGCTTTGGAGAAATCATTTCTATGTGTACTTTGTAATGTTTTGTAAGGCTGTTTTAGACTTTTTGGCGGAGGATTATTTTTTATTGAACTAGATTTGGTTCTTCTTACAAGTATACTGAACCCTTATTTTTGTGTATTTTTAAACCTGTTCTTGACTACACTTTAACTAGCCCAAGGACAGATGATGGTCTGTAATAAACTGCATAGTTCAGCTGTATTTTGTACTTGGTCACAACGTGTAATAAATTGGTGTAAACCAAACGGTTTGAGCACATTTATTTTTATCAAATATCAACATCACAAAACCTTTATTTGGAACAAACGTCAGATTTACAAATGGTTCTTTTCTTTAAGGTTTGGTAGAAGGTCAGATTGGTTCGATCCTTCAGGATGCTCCAGAGATACAGTATTTACATAATTTAAAAATCCTAGTTTTCATGGCAGCTCGGCTCCAGACAGTAACACGCTTCACTTTATTCACACACTTTTTCTTTCTTCTGTAATTCAAGAACGGTTCTGACATCTAGCTTAGTTTGCAGTGTCTCGATACAAAGGCACACAGAACAGGATGTGAACAGAGAAGATTCAATAGAAAAAAAAAAAGAGAACTTTCCTCCTGGAAAAGGCAGGACGACTGAATGTACAACACACAACTTAAGTTAGAGGAAAAGAAGAAGAAAAGGCTTGGTCCTAAAGCAGCAGGACACCGTCAGAAGTAAGTGCACATCGTCCTCGGAGGCTGAGCTGAAGTCTTACCAACAATCACCTCTCTCAGCTCAGACGCTGTCAAAGTGCTAAGTTCTCTGAACCCTCAGCGACGGTCCGTTTGGGGATCTGACGGTCCTCCATGTGATTCACAGGGAGCAGCCCGCCATGTACTTCCCTGTCAAAGACAATAAAGAGGTTCATGTGCAAAGAGAAAACACACGACTAAGATCAGCAACAGTCCGACGAGCAAAACCTTCAAGAGCCCACATTGTGCACAATTACATGGATGTCGTTTTAGTTTTGGGGACTCGTGAAATATTTTTACAGGCTCTAATGTTCAAAAAGCATATTATTGTCCTCATATTGCACATTGCTGCAGCTCCTCCTCTGTTTCTATCTCGTTAAGGCCTCCTGATGGAGCAAAGGCTGCTCTGATTGGTCAGCGGTGAACGTGAGTTAATGCTGGTGATGTATGGAAAACCCAGATCAACCAGTGTGAGGACGCGGCTCTGGCAGAAGTGGCTCTACTGAGGAAATAATGATGAACTGAGGATGTGCAGAATTACAAATTAATTCATACAAATGTGTCACATGTTGATGTAAATAAGCAGCAGGAGAAAAGCCTGGAAAGAGTAACAGACCTTTTACATGCACAGAAAAAAACCCTAAAAAGCATAAAATGGGCTTTTTAGAAAACACATTAATAATTCAGATTACTTAAACCAAAATATCAAAACAATCCAACCTCTCTCGTTTTTTTTTGTTTTTTTTTTACAGTTTACTCAAAGTGTGACTTTTCTCTCCTGCTGAGAGGAAGATCGATGCAACTAATGTCTTCCAGTTAAGTTAAGCTTAGCTTAGCATATAGACTGGAAGCTGTTAGCGCGCTAGCCTGGCTCTGAACCAAGACAGAAAGGGCGTCTGCCAGCTATCGACCCGATTTGGTTCATCAGTACAAAAACTGAGTGTAAAAATTAGAGCTGCACGATATATCAGCGACCACATCGGTATCGGCCGATATTAGTGTTTTTCTCCCACATATCGGCATCGGTCTAATGAGCAAATTTAGCCGATGATTGTCTAACATTAGTGCCTTCGTCTCTATGTTTGATATCGCTGCTATTTCACAGATGTCTTTACTTAAATGGTCCTGGACTTGAACATTAAATATGTTTAAATATGTTTTACTTTTGTTACGTACTAAAAAAGACTATGTGGTCTGATTTGGCTTTCTTTTAAATAGTTTTCTCACAGTGCTTCCTTATACTCATTTTTCGATGTGAACAAAAATTGAATATCGACATCGGTGATATCAGAAATCTTAATATCGGTATCAGCCAGAAATTTTTATATCGTGCATCACTAATGAAATCATTTTTATCTTGTGTCCAGTCAGAACATTTTGTTAATTAGTACGTTTAATAGGTGGTGGACAAGGTTTCCAGTCGTTATGCTAAGCTAACAGGCTACAGCTTTATATTTACCAAAGCTTACAGACATGAATTCACTCTTGTCATTAAACTCTTAGCAAGAACTCAAAGAAGTTTTTTTTCTTATCTACTATCGAGTTATTTTAATGGATGCTATAATAATCTGTGAACACACTAATAATGGCGCCGTTTTCATTCCAGATAAAACCATCAACACCTTCTAATCAGGCTTCCTTTATAAAAGCCTTTCTTACTGGTTTAGTTGGCGATGCTATGAGCCATGAGCGTGATACGAGGCTGTAAATATCCGATTAGTTTATGTTTTCTATTTGGTAAAAATGTTCATACTCCATTAATAAATGTTGTTTTTTTCCCACTAAGTTGACATTAAATCTGGCACATCATCAAATCATTCATTCCAGGTTTTAATCATCAAGTCGGCAGCTGTAAATGTTAACGAGTTTCTAAATTGTGTTTGGTCCAGAGTGCCTTCAGCGCTTTTGTGAGATAATCAATAAAAAATCAGTAAAACGTCACAGCTTATTAGAAAGTGGGAAACGGTTCCTTCAGTCCAGAGTCAGTGGAGCAACAGACTTCAGGTTGTTTAGCAGCGATCCAGAATCCAAAGATATTTAATGTACGATGATAGAAAACAGAAAAAACTGCAAATGCTCACATTTAAAAACACTAGAAGCAGTAAATGTTTTGACATTCTACCTAAAAAAACATCAGTAAAACTATCAGCAGGTAACTCGTCTGTTATCTGAAAAGCTGATTAACTATTAGTTTCACCAGCAGTTCTGTAAACATGATTAGAAATAAAGTCTGTACAGTTGTTATTATACATAATACTGTGATGAAACCTCTGTGGTTCTGATCCGTTTATAAGGACCAGAATGAGGATTATACACCAACATGTTCCATCGTTTGATTCGTCAGAACCGTCTTTAAAGTTGATATTAGCAGGTACAGCTGAAACCAGAAGTTTACATCCACTGTAGAAAAAGACATAAAACCTTTTCTTTCTCACTGTCTGACATTAAATGTGACCAAACTTTTCCTGTTTTAGGTCAGTCAGGATTAACAACTTCATTTATATTTGCTAAACGCCAGAATAATGAGAGAGAGAAGTTTTTTTATTACTTTCTTCAGAGTCAGAAGTTCACATCCACTAAGATGCCTTCAAACTATTTGGGAAACCCACATGATGATGTCACGGCTTTGGAAGCTTCTGATTGGTTAACTGACAACGTTTGAGTTAATTGGAGGCACAGCTGTGGAAAGAAATCAGCCAAGTCACACAGTTTAAAGGCAATGCCACCAAATACTCAGGAAACGTATTTAAATTTCTGACTTTGAATAAAGTAATAAAAAATTCAGCCAATAGAAATAATGTTGGTGATGAACAGACAGACAGACAGACAGACGGATAGAACATTATTGATCCCTTTGGTATGAACCTTAATTGAAATTGTTAATCCTAAGTGACCTAAAACAGGAGAAGTCCAGTTTGATTTAATGTTAAAGAAAAGCTTGTGTGTCTTTTTATTCGGTGTGTGTAAACTCCTGGTTTCAGCCAGAGTGTGTGTTCAGAGCGTCACCTGTGGCGAATCTCTTCTTGACCAGCGACATGCGGTAGCGGCTGCCCACCAGCTCCACGTCCATACCCGACAGCGAGGCCCCGGAGCCCACAAACTGAACAGCCAGGCTGGGCGGAGGGCCGCGGGGGACCTCCAGGCACTGCCAGCTGGCACACAGAGTCCCTGAGCCTGGAACACACAACCATGAGGTCAACGCTGAGCAGAAGATCGTTTACAATATGGACAGAAAATAT